TTCAGTGGATCAACAAAAACCATTGGAAAGTGTTACGCCAGAGGCCCCACTGGTACTGCAACTGAAGAAGAAAAACGAGTGGAAACAAGGCAAAGTGATCTTACTCACCGGAGCAGTTAAGATCATTAATGCCGAAGGTGAAGCCCGAGAAGTAGTCGTTTTATTGGACACCGGTTCAGAACTTTCGTTTATAGAGGAACAACTCGCAGAGGAACTCAACTTGCCAGTTGTGGGTACAACCTCACTAGAATTGAACACATTCGGCACGCCAGCTACGAAGATCAAAACCTGTGCGATTACGCGCTTAACGCTGATGGATCGCAATGGAACCAAGCACAGTGTACAACTTTACAAAAATGATTACATCACAAGTGCCGTACAACAAGCAAGCCTCAATAAGGAAGATTTGCAGTTTATCCGGAAAGGAAAATACCGCCTATCTATGCCAATAGAAGAGGGAGAAGTGAAACCACAGATCTTACTCGGCTGTGATTACCTCTGGAACTTTATTGAGTCAGGCATGAAGCTGAGTCTACCATCAGGCTTGCAGCTAATACCCACTAAATTGGGGTACATTATTAGCGGCAGGCAAAGCCAAAGTAGCCAAAGACCGGCAATAACATGCACTTTACAAGGTTCCGAAACCGAAAAGGAGATATGGGATCGTTACTGGTCTTTGGAATCAACCGGCACAGAAGAATTTACTGGTACACAGCAAACCGAGCTGCAGAAGATAAACGAGAAGGTACTCCAGGACTTCAAGGAGTCGATCGAAAAGCGAGAAGATGGCTACTATGTACGTTTGCCATGGAAAGAAGACCACCCAGATCTTCCGGATAATAAAGCACTGGCTCTCAAGAGACTGGAAAAGGTCTTGGAGATATACCAGAATGACACGGAGACCTTGAATGCATACGACAAAACATTCAAGGACCAGTTGGAAAAGGGAGTCATAGAGGAGGTATCGCCAAATGAGCCAACGGAAGGAAGCATAATACACTATCTACCGCACCAGGCTGTTATCACGCCATCAAAAGAAACAACAAGAATGAGGATTGTCTTTGATGCGTCGGCTCACTACAAGGATTGCCCATGCTTGAACGACGTCCTGCATCAAGGCCCCCTCATTTTACCAGACTTGGTGGGAGTGATACTTCGATTCCGACTTCATCGGATTGCAGTAATGTCGGACATCGAGAAGGCTTTTCTACAAGTGCGGTTACAAGAAAGAGACCGCGATGCAACGCGCTGCATATGGGTAAGGGAAATTACGCTCCCACCCACGCCAGACAACTTGGTGGTCTACAGGTTTACCCGAGTCACTTTCGGTCTCAATGCTTCGCCGTTCTTGTTAAGTGCGACGATAGATTATCATCTAGAAAACACAGCAAGTAACGACGATATGGCACCGGAAATCAGGAAAAACCTGTATGTAGATAACCTCTTTTTTGGAGCACAGTCATCCGAAGAAGCACTCGCGAAATACACTCACACAAAAGCGCTATTTCGCGAGCTGAATATGAATCTTCGAGAATACCGCTCCAACGACCAGCAATTCAACACAACAATCGCCGAAGCGGATAGGATGAAATCCGTTTGTCCAAAGGTCCTCGGAATTCCCTGGAATTCAGAGACGGACAAATTTATCATCAGAGGGTCTATGGTTGCTTCAAAGGAGAAGATTACCAAACGCACCGTTACACAGCAACTAGCATCGATATACGACCCAATGGGATTCCTAGTGCCTCTTTTGCTTCCAGCCAAAATATTCCTTCAGTCGCTGTGGAAGGAAGAGCTGGATTGGGATACGCCGCTTACCGCACCATTACAGGATCAGTGGCGGCAGATATCGAGCGAGATATCTACATTCTGCAAGGAAATAAACAGGCAAATCATCAGGAAACCCCACACTGCGCGATTGGTCGTTTTTACAGATGCTAGCCAATGGGCAATGGCAGCATGCGCGTACCTCACGACGAAGGAAGAATCCAACCTGATAATGGGAAAATCAAAGCTCCCATCAATAAAGACGGCGATGACGATACCGAAGCTGGAAATGAACGCAGCAACGTTAGGCTTGCGGCTAGCTTGGTTTATCTGTAAAGAACTGGAATCGATCTATCGCATTAACGAGGTTATATGCTACACAGATTCCGACATAGTACTGGCATGGATAAAAGCACCTCCAACCCGACAGAGCGCAGGTGTCTTAGTGACTAATCGACTGGCAGAAATGAGACGGATAAACAAGGATTTAAAGAACCATAATGTAACGTGTTTCTTCGGACACGTCACAACGTCAGAAAATCCGGCCGATTGCGGATCGAGAGGACTGACAGCGGAAGCACTGCAGAATCATCAATGGTGGAAAGGACCACACTTTATAAACAAGCCAGACTACACGAAGCTGAGCACGATCGCAGAAGAAGAAAAAACGACATCAGCTCTAGTGGAGGTAATAGCGACAACAAAGGAAGCATCAAAAGACGAGATTATAGATCTACAAAGATACAGCTCTTTCGAGAAAGCCCAGAGAGTATGCGTCTACGTATTACGCTTTATAGGAAAATCGCTAAACCACTTTACCGAAAAAAGAAAGGAAGCCATTCAAAGGACCATTCCGGCACTGAAAGTAATCTCAAAGGCGCAGAACATCACGGGAGCAGAGATGCATGAAAGCAGAATGTGCATAATTCGAGATCACCAAAAACACTACGTGAGCGAACATCAAATAAAATCACAAAAGGAGCTGAACATCCGAAAGGACGAACAAGGAGTGCTACGCTGCTACGGGCGCTTAAGCAAGTCAGATCTATCGACTACGACGAAAACACCGATATACATCGCATCAAAAACCGCGTTAGCACAGCTCATCATCGCAGAAGTACACAACAACTATCACCGCGGAGTCGCTCATACGATCTCCTCAGTACGGGAAAACTACTGGATACCGAAAATAAGGCAGCAAGTGAAGAAAATCATCACAAGGTGCGTACCGTGCCAGAAGATGAACAACCTTCCCTTCTATTATCCTGACATGGAAGCTTTGCCGACTACGAGAGTGCAGAAAGCAAATCCATTCGCGCACATTGGATTGGATTACTT